TTTTACAGAGAGGAAGGGAGAGGGATAGAGAGTTAGAAACATCAATGAGAGAGAAACATCGATCAGCTGCCTCCTACACACCTCCTACTGGGGATGTGCCCGCAACCAAGGTACATGCCCTTGACCGGAATCGAACCTGGGACCTTTCAGTCTGCTGGCCGATGCTCTATCCAGTAAGCCAAACCAGTTAGGGCCATACATAGTTATTAGAATACTATCTATATACTATATATAAAAGACTAATTTGCAAAGTGTCCGCTCGGGAGTTTGGCCAGGAGAACAGTTCAATCGCTTGCTATGATGTGCACTGACCACCAGGGGGCAGCACAGAACATGACAGGCAACCAGTGGCGGCAGCGGGGCTAAAGGGGTGAGGGAAGGAGGAGGTGGTGGGGTGGGGATAATCACATGGTGGCAGTGCACGGGTAGCGATGGAAGGAGGAGATGGGGAGGCGGGGAACCTGATCAGCCCTGATCACAGGCCAGGCCTAGAGATCCTACCCATGCACAAATTTCGTGCACTGGGCCTCTAGTTGATTATAATGCTCTACTTTACATCCTCATGACTATTCTGTAACAACCAATTTATACTTCTTTTCTTGGTTAATTGGTTTTAGAGAGAGAAAGGGAAACGGAAGGAGGAGACAGGGAGGCGGGGAACCTGATCGGCCCTGATCACAGGCCAGGCCTAGAGACCCTACCCATGCACAAATTTCGTGCACTGGGCCTCTAGTTGATTATAATGCTCTACTTTACATCCTCATGACTATTCTGTAACAACCAATTTATACTTCTTTTCTTGGTTAATTGGTTTTAGAGAGAGAAAGGGAGAGGGAGAGAGATAAAAACATAGCTGAGAGAGAAACACAGCTTGGCTGCCTCCTGCTCGCCCCCTACTGGGGATCAAGCCCAAAGTCTGGGCATGTACCCTGACCGGGAATCAAACTGTGACCTCCATGCCAGCCGGAACCAGCAACCTCTTGGTGCATGGGACAATGTTCAACCAACTGAGCCACACTGGCTGGGCTCCGTGTCTACAGTTTTAAAATATTGCCAGTAATTTAGAAAAAATTAGCCCATGTTGCTGTTGTGTTGCTTCACAAAAAAAGAAAAAATGCTTTAAAATTCACCAGTGCCATGATTTTTCATTAGTGACTCACACAGTCTACAGTGCTTCTATATCCAACTGGTATCTGAAAGAAACTAGCATTGTTTATAAAAGGGCTATAAATAGGTTGTTAAGCAGAGCAGCAGGACCACTTCAGCTAGCCATTGCTTATTCAGGGATAAATGAGAAAGAGCTATACTGGCACTAAAAAAAACATCCATCATTGTGGGGTTTTTCCCCTTTTCAATATATGAATGCCCTAACTTGGTCCATGGTAAAGTATGAGAAACAATGATAACCTAGTAGCAATGAACACAGTGTCTGGGCTGTGGTTTCTTAAAGCTATCTCTATTCAAAGGAACCAGCACTCCTTGTAAGATTGGCTGATGCCCAGGGCGTATGTGCTGATCAGCCTGGTACATTCCACCATACCAGAAACCAAGGAAGCTATCAAAAACCAACATGTCTTTTCTAAAGGATCCAGGAGCCAAAAAATAAAAAGACCCCCACTGGAGTCATTTAAAAACAGTATTCTACTGCTTTACCAGAAAGGTCTACTGCTTTAAAAACAGGAATCTATACATCACTAATCTCACTTATAATTTTTAAAAAATTTTAAATTAGTCTTTCCTTCATATTAGTATGGCCTCTATGTATTGAAAGATAAGTTCCATAATACTAGGAATTTTGTTCTATTCCTTACTATATCTCAGGGCCTCAAATATTTATTGAATGAATAATGGAGTTGTTAGAAGTAATGGATAACTGCACAAAATTCTAAGAATATTTTACTTCAATGCAAAATGTCAGTATTTTAAGCTGATTAGTTTATTTAGCTTAATCATATTTATTTTAATATTCATTTCATTTCAATGAACAATTCATATAATAATCTCAAAGCTGTCTTACCCAGTGTCCTCCATTAATGCCAGAGTGATTCGAGAGAGGACTCGGTTCTGGGTGTGAGAACCAGTCATTGCTTCATTCTGAAAATTGCCAACAGATTTTCGTTAGAGGACTGGACCCCTTGCAATCTCAATAATTTCCATCATTACGTTGATGTATATTTAAAATGTCATAAGTATGAGAGGCTCATGAAGTACTCACTTAAAATAGTGAGATACATAAGTCTTGTTTAAAATGACAAGACTGAAGCTTAAAATCTACTTTCTGCCTCAAATGTCTACATTGTGTCCAATTTTGTTTGAATGGTAGACAGCCAGCATTTAGAACTCTGTGATGAAAATGAGGATAAATACATTGAAACAGGAATACTGTAAAAATATTACACTACCTAGGCAAAATGGGTAGTTGAGACAGATGCCCAGATAATACTTACCTGAATTACACAAAAATGCTTTCATAACCCTCAACTTTGTGATCAAAGAAATACACATTAATATGCAAAACACGTATCACAGGATCAAAGGATTTGCATGAGGGACCTAAAATACCATCAAGGTCTACTATCTACCCAGTGTTTTAATTCATATCATAAAATTTATACCAGTAGGTTGCCTAATGATAAGGACTTCACTGCCTCTTAAGAAGCGTATTCTATCTTGGGGCAGCTCTGACTATTCTTCCAATCTTTAATTTGAACACTAGATGGTCTTCTCAAGCACTTTAATATCACCTTTTTAAAAAATAGGTCAAGGACACAAAGTTGACTTCAGAGAAAGGTATGAGTTGATGAAATTAATTAAATTATTACTATCTACTGAAAAGTAAATAAGCTTTCATTTCTGGCCAATCTATAGCTTTCTAAAGGGAATCACTTGATAAAATTGCTTAAAGAAAATAAACTGAAATTCCCACGGGAGAAATATATGTCACTTCTAGTAAGTTTCCATCACTGTTACTTGTGGTCATCTAGATAAGGTCAGTACAAGCATTAATTTTATTCTTTTCACAGTTCTACCAACTCAGGTCATGATACATGTAAGCATAATTTTCAAATCCTTCACCCATTTTTAAATATTTAAATATTTTTACTGATTTCAGAGAGGGAGAAATAGAAACATTGATTGGCTGCCTCCTGCCCGTCCCGTCCCGTCCCCCCCCCCCCCCCACCACCGAGGAACGACCTGGTTGGGAATTGAACCATGATTTCCTGGTTCATAGGTCAAGGCTCAACCACTGTTAGCCATGCTTCATTGCTGAGTTATAAGAGTTCTTCATATAGTCTGGATTATAGACCCTTATCAGAAAGATGATTCGCAAATATTTTCTTCCGTTCTGTGAGTTGTCTTTTCACTTTCCTGCTAGTGTCTTTTGAAGCACAAAAGTTTTTAATTTTTTTATGGAGTTCATGTTGTCTATTTTCGTTGGTTGCTTATGCTTTTGGTGTCACATCTAATATATATATATATATATAAAATCTCCTTTGAGCAAGACACTCCACTTGCAGGGATTTATCTCTTCTTTTTATATATAAAGAAATTTGACCTTGCGTTAACTTCCTAATTCTGGTTTCTGGAAACCTAATAAAGGTGGAATGTGAACCGAGTTACCAGCAACAGTACACAGGGAAAAAGACCTCCTGATATGCGTCTGGATATGGGATTACTATAAGTGAACAGAACACCTGTTGGTAAGCCACAATTTGGGACTTCCGGGTGTGCAGTGACTTTTATGGGTATGACCCTTACAGGGTTCTGCAAGTTATATATATGGATAACTCTTAGACTGCTGGATGGAGTATGAGAAATGCCTGATGGCCATGGTGGCATGCTGTGCTTTCTTTCCTCTATCCTTCTACATGAATGTTTTTTCAATGTGGACCATTTAGGTCTTGTTAATTTGATTGTTTAGCTGAACCTAATTACCACCACTAGAACAACACTCCTAGGAGACATTTCAGATTTAAATAAGTTGCTCACTGCAATATTTTTAAAATTAAAAATTAAAAAGTTATTCATTAGCATAGGAATGTTGTGCATATAATATGTAGCTATTAAAAAATGATATATATATATAGATAGATCCCATATACAGGTTATTCTACTAAAGCATGTGTTTCTGTATGTGAATGAGCTCATGTAAGCCTGGTAAATAAGAAAACATCATCATAAGGATCGTGTTGCTTCATAATGATTTTCCCCCTGGATTTTAATGTTTTGTGCACTGGAGCAAAAGCAACTAAATACAAAGCACACTCAGGCAGCTAAACACAGTAACAGAGAAATGCTATACTGTGCAGGATGTCCGTTCACTCCATGCTCTTCTACACGGCTTGAAGTGCTTATTGCATGGTTTTCTCTAATCTTTGTACAATTTTACTATTTTCTTCCATTGCTCAGATTTATAGTCTCCCATCCAACTATCACTGCTTTTTGTTATTTTTGTTCAATATAAAGAAATACTAGAGTAAATACAGTTTATTTATTGGAATATATGTCTTTTTAAACCAACCTAGCACTTTTATTATGACTTATTGCTTTTATTAGTGCTCTAGTATTTGTTTTTCCCACAAGTCTTGTTATTTTCAGTGTTCAATTTTGGAGGAAGAGGTTTTTCTAGGAAAGCATACATTGCATTACAGTGGAAGCACTTTACTACCTTGGAGAAATGTTTAAGATAAATATCATTAAGTGAAGAAAGTTGTAGAAATGTACGAAACCATTTTTTAAAAAGTATATATGTTAGTTCATATTTCTGAAAGGATATACAAAAGAACTTAAAAAGTGATTACTTCAGGAAAGTGGTCTGGAAAGCTAAAGGGCAAAAGAGACTTAAAATTTTTTTATTTTACTAGTATACACTATTATACTGTTTGAATGACTTTTTACCATAAGTAAGAAAAAATATGTCTAGTATAAAGAAAAAACAGATTTAGTAAAATTTTAAGGTAAACTTACCTCTAATAAACGCTTTTCCCAATGGTTGAGTTCAGTGCCCATACCACCTTGATTTTCAAGTTCCATTCCCTCCAGAATTGGACAGTTAAAATGTTTTCTTGCTTCATCCTTAAAATCAGAAAAAAATATAAGCCCTACAAAAGTACAATAAGATAATGGCAAATGATCACAATCTATGTAATAAAGAATTAAAGAATTACTTTGGTGCCCTAGCCGGTTTGGCTCATTGGATAGAACGTCAGCCTGCGGACTGAAGGGTCGTGGGTTCAATTCTGGTCAAGGGCACATGCCTGGGTTGCAGGCTCCATCCCCAGCAGGGGGCGTGCAGGAGACAGCCGATCAATGATTCCCTCTCATCATTGATGTTCCCCCCCCCCTCCCTCTCCCTTTCTCACTGAAATCAATAAAATATTTAAAAATAATTTTTTAAGAATATAATTTTCTTCATTTGGTTCTGCCTGTCCTTCAGTTAGAGACTTCCAGGGATGGAAAATATGCCGAGAGCAGTGTAAAAGTTCCGAAGACTCTCAGAGAGAGCTGTGTTCAGTCAAGGAGGGAGAAAGGGAGAATAAGTTTCTGTCATTACATAAACGTATAATGGTTAATTTTATGTGATCTTGGCTGGGCCGCAGTGCTTAAATATTTGGTCAAACATTAGTCTGTATATTTCTATGTGGATGCTTTTGGATGAGATTAGCATTGAACTTAGTGGATTTTGAGTAAAGCAAATTTATAGATGGGCCTCATCCAATCAGTTAAAGGCCTTAACAGAACAAAGACTGACCTTACCTGAGCTAGAAGGAATTCAGTCAGGAAACTGCCTTTGGATTCAAATTAAAACTCTTCCCTGAGTCTCCAGCCTGCTAGCCAACTCTCTCAGATTGTAGATTCTCTAAACCTCCGCAATTACATGAGCCAATTCCTTAAAATGAATCTCTTTCTTCTCCCTTCCCCCATGTCAACACATCCTGTTGGTTCTGTTTCTCTGGAGAACTCTGACTAATACAGACTCCAAATTAAGTGATCCCCAATTATGCAATAGTGCCAGTAATGCTAAGAGGTATGAAAACAGAGGAGCACTGACTTAAAGCAGTGGGTAGAAAGGGAACCAGGAGTCATTGCCAAATTTCCATTTCCTCAGATTTCTCTGGGAGGGTAGCTTTATTGTATTGCCTTTCTAATCTTTTTCCTACTATAGGCTCTAAAATGTAATCATAGTTCTTAAACAATAATGATTAGTAGAGGACCATTATGAAGGAAAAGAGCTGATGGCTCATGTGACGTTAATAATTTAGTAATACTTACAACAACACGAGGCGTTACGAGGAGATACACAGTGTGAGGAACTATCTTGTTATCTCGAACATCCCATAATCTCTCCACTTTTTGAACTACTTTATCACTCCATTGATATAATCCAAGACTGTAATTAAAGGATAAGAAGACGGTCACTTTTGCAAATTTACCTCATTAAATGTGAGGTAAATTTACCTCATTTAATTTTATGAATATCAATAAAATTAAAATATTCGAGCTTACTATGTACCAAGTTCATAAAAGTACTTGATAACATTTTCTCATTTAATCTTTTCAACAACATCATGAGAGTGTCATCACCATGCCATAGATCAGTGGTTCTCAACTTTGGCTGCACATTAGAATCACCTGGGAATCTTTTTAAAATCCTGATTTCTGGGCCTCATCCTCCAGAAATTCTGTTTCTTTGTTACTAATGTTGTAGCCCCACCCCATAACAAAGAAACAGAATTTCCGGAGGATGAGGCCCAGAAATCAGGATTTTAAAAAGATTCCCAGGTGATTCTAATGTGCAGCCAAGGTTGAGAACCACTGCCTTAGATAAACACACAGAAGCTTAGAGAGATGAAGTAACTTGCTCAAGTCCACATAGCCAATTCTTGGCTAGGATGACAATGAATTCTTTCCTTTTAAGACATTTACTGGGGGAAAAAGCAAGTCCAGAGACATATTCAAGTATATAAAGAAACTTAAACCCCCCAAAAAGATGACACTTTAATTTAGCGGGAAAGTATAATTTACATAATAACTGTGTAAAACCGGTTATCCATCTAGGAAAAAAGTTAAATCCCTATTTTGTCCCATATACAGAAATAAATTCCAGACAGATGAGAGCAAAAATAGTAGAGTAAGGACCTCTGAAAATTCTCTGCCTTGTGAAAGCCATGAGAAAAGTAGCAAAATTGACCAAATCAACTGTTTTAGAACTCTGGAAATTAACCAAAGGCTTGCAGCAATCCAGGAAGCACTTAAAAATGGATGAATCTGATGAATTAAGAAAAATGAATTGTAAGAACAGCAAGCTTTGTGGTTTTTTCCCATGCCCTCTCCTGTCTTATGGCAGGCTTGAAAACCAAAAGTCCAGACATGGCAAAAACCAGCAACTGGGCAGCCACCAGAAGAATTCATAAAAAACAACAGCCATGATCCAATTGTATGTCTATAAGAGACAGTTCAGACTCAAGGACACAAATAGGTTGAACTTTTAATCCTTTTATGGATTAAAAAGACATGACATTCAAACAGTACTCAAAAGAGAGCTGGAACAATTTTATTAATATCACACAAAATAGACTTTAAGACAAAAATTATTTCTAGACACAAATAGGGAAATTTTCTAATGATGAATCAATCCACCAAGACATAACAATTATAAAAATATATGTATAGCCCAGCCAGTGTGGCTCAGTGCCGAGTGTCGACCCATGCACCAAGAGGTCGCTGGTTCAATTCCCGCTCAGGGCACATGTTTGGGTTGCAGACTTGGTCCCCTGGTGAGGGGTGTGCGGGAGGCAGCCAATCGATGTTCTCTCTCATTGATGTTTTTTCTTTCTCTCTCTGCCTCTCCCTCCCTCTCTCCAAACCCCACGAATGAATTTTTTAAAAGGAGGGAATGAAAGGGAATGGATTGGATTGGAATGGATTCGAAGGGAAGGGAGGAGACTTAAGGGCAGGAGATGGAATGTGGTTGAATTTGACTTTGCAGTGATGTCTGGTGTGAAGTCGGTAAGAGAAACACTGCGAGAGGGCGTAAGCCAGGCTGAGGGATAACCCTCCCCCCCGCCCCGCACAAATCCGTGCACCGGGCCTCTAGTCTATATAATAAAAGCCTAACCAACCGTTACGGCAGAAAGACCTGAACGATCAGTCGCTATGATGTGCACTGACCACCAGGGGGAAAATGCTCCATGCAGCAACTGCCCCCAGTGGTCAGTGTACTCCCACAGGGGGAGTGCCACTCATCCAGAAGCTGGGCTCACAGCTGGCAAGCGCAGTGGCAGTAGCAGGAGCCTCTCCTGCCTCCATGGCAGCGCTAAGGAGCAGCAAGCCAAGCAGCAAGGAGTAGTGAGCAGGTAGGCATTAAGGAGCACGGGGTCACGGACATCCTCCAAGGGATCCCAGACTGCGAGAGGGTACAGGCTAGGCTGAGGGACCCCTCAGCAGAGGTCAAATTTCGTGCACTGGGCCTCTAGTGTGTGTGTGTGTGTGTGTGTGTGTGTATCCTCTTTTCATACCCTCTTTTTAGCCGGAACTGCCATCTTCCAATAATTTGCCAAAATGACTAACACAAAGAGAAAGAGAGGCACCCACTATATGTTTTCTAGGATTTTTAGAAAACATGGAGTTGCTCCTCTAGCCACATACGTGTGAATCTACAAGAAAGGTGATATTGTGGACATCAAAGGAATGGGCACTGTTAAAAAAGGAATGCCCCACGAATGTTACTATGACAAAACTGGAAGAGTCTACAATGTCACCCAGCATGCAGTGGGCACTGCTGTGAACAAACAAGTTAAGGGCAAGATTCTTGCCAAGAGAATTAATGTGCGCATTGAGCATATTAAGCACCCTAAGAGCCGTGATAGCTTCCTGAAACGTGTGAAGGAAAATGATCAGAAAAAGAAGGAAGCCAAAGAGAAAGGTACCTGGGTTCAGCTAAAGCAGTGGTTCTCAACCTTCCTAACGCCGCGACCCTTTCATACAGTTCCTCATGTTGTGGTGACCCCCAACCATAAAATTATTTTTGTTGCCACTTCATAACAGTAATTTTGCTACTGTTATGAACTGTAAGTAAATATCTGATATACAGGATGTATTTTCATTGTTACAAATTGAACATAATTAAAGCATAGTGATTAATCGCAAAAATAATATGCAGTTATATATGTGTTTTTCCGATGGTCTTAGGCGACCCCTGTGAAAGGGTCGTTCGACCCCCACAGAGGTCTCGCCCCACAGGTTGAGAACCGCTGAGCTAAAGCATTAGCCTGCTCCACCCGGAGAAGCTCACTGTGTGAGAACCAGTGGACAGGAGCCTGAGCTGTGAATTCATAGCATGATAAGTATAAAAAGAAAAGACTTGAGTACTGATAAATAAATACATCTTATAAAATAAAATAAGGGTGGGGAACCTTTTTTCTGCCAAGAGTCATTTGGTATTTATAACATCATTCACTTAATATAATTCACAAAATATAAGTTTATGTTGCTTGAAAAAGCTCCTAGATTTATTGAATTTCAAGTACTGCCTGGGGTTGCCTGGGCAGGGCCAAACCAAATGATTTCGTGGGCCTTATACAGCCCTCAGGCCAGACATTCCCCACCCCTCCTATAAAGAACCAAAATATAGAAAGCAAAAATAAATTTCAAATAGATTAAAGTTATGAATGTAAAAAATTTAAATAATAATTTACTGTAAGAAAATTTAGGGTAATATTTTTTATTTTAGAGGGAGAGGCAGGGAGAGGAGAGACAGACAGAAACAGTGATGTGAGAGAGAAACATCAATCGGTTGCCTCGCACAGGCACCCAGACTGGGCTTGAACCTGCAACCAGCGTTCGTTGTACTGGATGATGCTCCAAGCACTGAGCCACAACAGCCAGGGCTAGAGTAATATTTTTATAATCTTTGGAGGGCAGGAACTTTCTTATGCAATAAAGGAAAAAAGAGATGAATTTAATGATATAAAATTTTAAAACTTCTTTGTATGTGAAGCTAAATGACCTCTTATACCCTATCTTGTTTTAATAGCTATAATTTTCTTAGGCTAGCCATAAAACAACTGTTATTTATGGCACTTAACATGCTACAATTCTCAGATTCAAGTCTTAGTATCTCTCCTAAAAGAGAACAAGAATAAAAATAACAAATACCTATAATTAAAAAGTGGGAGACCATCTGCAAATCTTGAAGTTAGAGGATTTCCATCTTTATCACGGTAGAATGCAAATAGCCCAGCAGAGAAACCCTATAAGAAAAAGTTGGAAATGTCTTAAAGTAAAAAATATCAATTCTGATTAGAGACATCATAACATGCTGCTATCAAAAGAGAACACTGATATAACCACATAGAAGCATCAGTACCTCTACAGGAACTTCTTATATTGAAATTGGACAATTAAGTAATCCATATTTTTGAATTTTAAATTCCAATTACTTGAGATTATTAAATGAGGAAACCATAAGTAACAGTAACAAAGATATTCTTTAGGGTATAGACAATGCATTTATTTGTTTAAGAATGTATTAATCACAGTAGATCTTCACATAAACTTACTAAACTCTGTAACTGCATCCAGGAAATGCTACTATTGAGAAAAATTAACAATAGAGTAGGGGGTGAGTGATCAAATATGTTCCTAAGAATATTCATAAAATTTCAGTGTCTTTGATTCCAAAATCCACATTTAATATATATCTACACTTAAGAAAAGTGGAAATGAGTGTGTGTGTGTATGGTGTGTGTGTGTGTGTGTGAGTGTGTGTGAGTGGGTGTGTGCGTATTTATACACTTGATAAAGACTGGAACATACATGAAAATGTTAGCTGTGGTTCTTTTGCTAATATGATAATGTGTAAAATCACCCACATTCCCAAAATTGTTTTACAATGTGAATTTTTATGTTTCTAATCACATTTTAAATAGTTTTTAAAGAAGTGTTCAATTTTGCCCTAACCGGTTTGGCTCAGTGGATAGAGCATTGGCCTGCGGACTGAAGGGTCCTAGGTTCGGTTCTGGTCAAGGGCATGTACCTTGGTTGCGGGCACATCCCCAGTGGAGGGTGTGCAGGAGGCAGCTGATCAATGTTTCTCTCTCGTCGATGTTTCTAACTTTCTATTCCTCTTCCTTCCTCTACGTAAAAAATCAATAAAATATATTAAAAAAAGAGAAGTGTTCAATTTTAATGATAATGTATATTTCACATAAAGACATTAAAATTCCTATTCTCTATCCCTCCCCTTCCAATTAACATGAGAAAGTGGGCAAAAAAATTGTTGACATTTGATATCTCCTATTTCTTTTCTTGCTTTCTTTCCTAATCTAATAGCTAAAACAAAGCACTTTTGGAACTACTTTTTTTTTTGAAAAAAATATTTTTATTGATTTCAGAGAGGAAGGAAGAGGGGAGGAGAGAGACAAACATCCATAATGAGAGAATCATGGATCGGCTGCCTCCTGCTGCACGCCCCCTACTGGGATTGAGTCTGCAACCCGGGCATGTGCCCTAACCGGGAATCAAACCATGACCTCCTGGTTCATAGGCTGATGCTCAACCACTGGGCCATGCCAGCCGGGCTGTAACTACTTTATATATATCTTATACATTGAGAATATGCTACAGCTTATATTCAAACTAGAGGCCCAATGCACAAAACTCGTGCAAGAGTAGGCCTTCCTTCCCCTGGCTGCTGGCATGGGCTTCCCTCCGGCACCCGGGACCCGGGCTTCCCTCCAGCCGCCAGCAGGCACTCGGGACCTGGACTTCCCTCACAGCCCTGGCTTCGTCCAGAAGGTGGACCCGAAGGACACCCAGAAGGATGTCTGGGCTAAATAGCATATTGCGCTTTTATTATTATAGATAACTAACAATCACAAATGATCACTTAATCAATTTCATTGGCAAATTTCTTTGCTAACATAACTGTGGTCTCTGTGTCATTCATGCTTGCCAGTATGATTAATGGAATCCATATTAGTATTTTATTCCTATATTTCTTCTTTTTTAACCTCTAAAGATGCAAAGGATATTTAATGGAATCAGCTAAGAATATCTAAATAGTTTTAAATATAAAATTCACTGAAGTTACATAAAGTTTAAAATAGTGTGATTTGTTTCATCCTTTATGATATTCTAAATAAACATTTTTCCCACCCTCTCAACTAGAAAGTTTTTCTAAGCATTCATATTTCAGAAGGATTATTTAGTATTTAAAGTACCATGGATGACTGTAGTTGAGAGCTATGAACATATTTAGCTTTATAGGGAGTACCTGTAGCTATTAAACATTTAATTCTTTCCATCCTCCAGGATAGTTTTTGAGATTTAAACTAATCTTTAAATTTCGTAGGGCTTTACAATTTTTAAAGTAATTCAAATACACAGAAAAGTTTCAAAAGCCTAACAGAAACTTATGCATCCTCTTTAAAAGGATTTAAGATGTTAGTTTTTCCATATTTTCTTCAGGGTTTGTTTTTTTTTTAAATAAATAAAACACTCCAGAGTAAATACTGCTGAAGCCTCACTATCTAATCCTTTTTCCTCCCTCTCTTCTCAGAAGTAACGACTACCTTGAAATCTATTTGCCTAACTCTCATACATGTTTTTACATTCAATGGTGTCTCACTTTAATTTGAAATTACCTGACTACTAAAGCAAGTGTAAATACCTTCTCATACATTTCTTGGCCAAGTGAACCTTTTCTTTTGTGGTCTATTCATAACCTAATTTATCTCATGCTTAGGAGCTCTGTATTCATGTTCACCTACAGATTAGACTTAAAAACCTGTTGTTTTACTCTGGTTCTCTCAAGTATCTCTCAAGTTATAGATTTTATAACTTAAAGCTTAAAATCAAACTTAGAATGACATTTGCCTTTCACCAAATTGAGCAGGTTCAACTTACTTTTTTTAATAAAGGGAAAATAAATTATTCATTTTGGAATCTCCTTACTCAAAAGATGTAAGTACTATTTGGTTACACTACAGTTTCACCAAGTTATTCAATGTATTTGCTGATTTAAAGACTGATGCTTAAGAAAAATACAGACAAGAAAAGCACGGGAAATGGAGCTGGACTAGTAGGGTAAGTTAGTCCTGAACCTCATATTTTATACTTCCGGTAAATCAATATATGTCCTTAATATTCGACGCCCCCCCCCCCAAAAAAGAGAGTGAGGCCTGCATTTCAAGGTCATACATGATAGCTCACTAAATAAAACTAATAAATAATAGCCACTAATTTTATTACACCTTATTATGTACGACATGGTGCTAAGCCATTTATAAGTTTTTTAAAAAAACAAAAACATTTCAGTTCCTATTACTTTAAAAAAAATCCTTTTTCTTTTAAATTTCAAGAGAGAAAGGGAGAGGGAGAGTTAGAAACATCAATGATGAGAATCATTAATTGGCTGTCTCCTACACACTCCCTACTAGGGATCCAGCCTGAAACCCAGCCATGTGCCCTGACCTGGAATTGAACTGTGACCTCCTGATTCATGGGTCAGTGCTCAACCACTGAACCTCATGGGCCAGGCCCATTTATGTTTTTTTTTGTTTGTTTTTTTTCCCATTTATGTTTTGTCTTATATAATCTTCAAGAGAAAAATCCCATTGTAGCATGTACTAATATCTTCATTTTACAGATGAAATTGAGGCTTACAAAGGCTAAGTAATTTACACAAGATCCCAAAGATTTTTAGTGATAGAATAAAAAAAATCACACCTAGATCAGTGTAATACTCTCTCTCTTAAATTTACTGCCATCTACTGTCTAAATACACAGATGGTATCAGAAGAACATATCCTAGCATCTTAGGCAACATTGTTTAATTCCCTAGACACGTAGTCAAAATTTATTTTGGATAAATTAGGGAAATGAAAGAAGTTCTGAATCAGTTACTACATATACACTTAGAAAGCCTGAATAGACCAAGAGGATTTTTAGAAATAAGATCTCTGTAGGAGATAAGATCTATAATTAGTATATCAGTTGTCATTTTAGAGGAAAGTAAATTTTTCTAAATTACTGTTTCTTCTGTAGAAACAATTATTTTCTCAAAAATCCCATTTGCCTAATATACTAATTTGTTTAATTATTATCATTATTTTTTTATTGTCTAAAGTTTTACATATGTCTCCTTTTTCCCCAATTGGCTCCCAACCCCGAGCCATTCCCACCCTGGGCAAACCCCCACTGCCCCAGTGTCTGTCTCCATTGGTTATGCTAATATGCATGCATACAAGTCCTTTAGTTGCTCTCTAACCCCTGCCTCCCCTAACATTTGTCTCTAGATCGATCTATTCTTGTTCATGAAATTATGTTGATCATTATATCCCACTTATGAGTGAGATCATGTGATATTTATCTTTCTCCAACTGGATTATTTCGATTAGCATAATGCTCTCCAGTTCCATCCATGTTGTTGCAAATGGTAAAAGTTCCTTCCTTTTTATAGTGGCATAGTATTTCATTGTGTAGATGTATCACAGTTTTTTAATCCACTCATTTGCTGATGGGCACTTAGGCTTTAAAAATATGGAACACTTCACGAATTTGCATGTCATCCTTGCCCAGGGGCCATGCTAATCTTCTCTGTATCATTCCAATTTTAGTATATATGCTGCCAAAGCGAGCACTGTTTAATTATTTTAAATAGTATAACTCAACCTAGCTCAAATGCTAATCATTAGAAATTTTCTACTGGCAAAGGCCTAATCAACTGTTTTATGGAACATGAATTTAAGAATCTACATAATCTTAAATGTTAATATATACATCAAAATGAAAGGACAATAAACAGAAAACCAAGGCGCACACGCATACATACACACACACACACAGAGTTAACAGGAAAATTTACCAGGGCATGAATAATCTCATGTTTCACTGTAGACAGCATCCCAATAAACTCCTGAGGCTGGGTAGAGATCATATTTGGACACAGGTTAGCATATCCTGCTATTGGCCTGTTAAAGTAGACATTGAATATTTATTATATTCCAGAATAATATGCATTATGATATTTATTAACCTATACTTTTCCATAAAAAATTGCCCAAGGTCATGCCCTGGCTGGTGTGGCTCAGTTTGTTGAGTGTTATCTCATACACCAAAGGTGGCAAGTTCAATTACCCATCAGGACACATACCCAGGTTGTGGGTTCGATCCCTGGTTGGGGCACCTACAGGAGAAAACTGGTTGATGTTTCTCTCTCTCTAAGATCAATTAAAAACAAAACAAAAAAAGTGCCCAAGGTCAGAAAAATCTTTGCTAAATATCAAATGTCATTTTGTATAACATCTAACTTTCACTATCTTTTACTTTGAAGACATATACCTCTGTGTTTCTACGACATGACTAATCAACAGCTATTTCTAAAAAAGGATTTAGTCAGTTAATTTTATTTTATTATGAATTTTTAAAATTTCAATATATACCAAATAAAGAAATGGACTGAAAAATTCAAATTCTAACACTATTTTACTTGCAAAATCCATATATGACTTCAGCATTTCTCTATTTTACAGGCACACGATCAGTCAAGTAAGTAGAGAGGGAAACAAGAATACACTATAGGACAAGAAACAAATCATTCAGGTTGCTGACAGCTGCTGGACCTTCTTATTTCCATCTCACTATTCCCTCTCCCACCCCAACACTGCCCTTCATTCATATAAAGATCTCTATCTTCCCATTATCTTCTTTCATATTCTATACCTTCTAGAATCTACAGAATTCTACATCTCCTCTGCACCCAGAACCTGAATCCAAGAGCCGACTAGGACCCAGAGTAATTCAGTCAGTTTTCTCATGCACTTACCTATCTTTTAAAAGCAATGGCAAACAAACAATGGTAAGGAACCCCGAGGTCATTTCCCTCATCACTATCATAACATTTTACCATAGAAATACCACAAACCTCATTAAATTTTGATTGCCTATTTAGAAAGTAACATTTGTCTTATTTAAAAAACATCGTATAGAACAACCAAGATGGTGGCATAAACACCTGAACTTGCTGCCACACACAACCACATTAAAACTACAACTAAAAGACAAAATGAATATCATCCAGAACCACAAGAAGGCTGGCTGAGTGGAAGTTCTACAACTAGAAGGAAAGAGAAAAGCGCACTGAATCCGGTAGGAGGTGCAGAGGTGTGGAAGTGTGGAGATACAGAGGCGCGCACATAAGGGGCTGGCAGCTGGATACACTGTTGTCTTTTTCAATTGGGAGGGAGATATAAGCTCCCGGCTCCTCTGAACTCCAGTTCCGGGTGAGAATTTGGGGACCCAGACTCATACGGAGAGGAACTAGACTGTCAGGCATTGGGCCGGAACGTGAGGGTGCTTTTCTCCCAGAGGTGCTTGCAGCGGTCATTGTTCCTACACAGGGCCAGGGCCGTGGGACACAGACCCCGGGACCTCTCTGAGGCTGAGCAGACTGGCAACCATTGCGGTTTGCTCTGCCCTGGTAATTCCCTGAGACCCAGCCCCACCCAATTTACAACCCCACCCAAGCTGTGCACAGAGGCTTTTGTATATGAATGGCCTGGCCTTTCTCTGGCTAAAAACCTGGGCAGACTCAGTGAGCGCCAAAGCCCCACTGAAGCAAGTCTTGCCCCAGAAGGGTGTCTCCAGCAAAGAAGTTCTACCATT